TTTGATACTCAGCCAGAAAGCTCTCTGTTAAGGCCTCCGCTGACGCATTTCTGTTAAATGTTACACCACAGTCTCCCTTTCACATATGCGAATAAAAAGTGTCACAGAAAAGACACAAAGGTTGTAGGTGAGATCACAAACAAACGGCGGAGGGCTTATAAAAACGTCCAGAGGCTCAAAGACAAGAGTGTCGATGTGAGCGTCTCCTCCTCTGGGCTGCTGGCAGAGTGTCGCTGGATTTGAAGTGTGAGGTTTCCATGGAGTCAGAACAAAGCCATCTGGACTGAGGAATGTGGTTTAGGAACGCTCCCCGTTACACACTGGACAACCAATGGTGTGAGGGTCCTGATAAGAGCTGAGAGAAAGAGTGTGCGTGTGCTTTTGTGTTCTTACTCTTCTGACCACCTCTCTTGTTTCCAAGCCTCATTTCCACCTCTCTACACTAATAGTTAATGTAGGATTAGAACTTAAACAGGATTTAATACACGTTTTGTATTTTGTGTGTGTCTGTTTTTAAATCTCTTAGTTGTGAATCCACCCTTACATGGGCTATATTTTGGGTTATGCCTTCATAGGCCTTGAATTCATGTTGTTTGGATGGATGAACATTAGCAGACAAAGCCTAAAGAGGCCTTGCGGAGTTGTCTTGTAAACAAACAAAAGTTATGTTAACATTCAGTGTTCTTCAACAACACGCATCATGTGTATCCTTGAATAGTTCATTTCCCTCTTTACTAAACATTTGAAAAGCTTGAAGTGTTTTTAATCCAGCATGGTTTTCATCTATGTTAAATAGCTCACAGTCTTCTTTGTTAGCTTTTCTGGCGTTTTTCAATCTTTGACATTTTACCGTCACCATTTGTGGAATAGCAAGATAGTGTCCTGTTAAAGTAATCTAGGGCTTTATGGTTAATATCTGATTTACACAACACATCATAACAAACCTATGCTATATTCATATGCTATTGCTATCTATATCTATTATCATGATATTAAATCGAGACATGCATTAAAACAAAACTTCATATGAGATGTTTCAATCAGCAAATATACCTGCTTTTAAGTGAGCCATAAGTTGATGAATTATAAATCAAATAAAAAAATGTAAATTGAAAAGACCCTGCATGCCATACAGGGTCTGTACACAGACAAATCAAATCAACCCAAACAAATAAAATGGAGGACATTTTAGCAGTGCTAGCATTGATAACATGTCACTGATAACATGTCACTGATAACATGTCACTGATAACATGTCACTGATTCTGCAATGGCAATAACAAAAGATGTCCTCATGGAACATTTTGAAATGATCCATATAGAGGATTTTATTGGTAATTTTACTATTGATGCCAGCAGTTTATTGTACAAGCAAAGCAAAAGTGTATGCATAGCTCAAGCAAAATGTTGCTCAGAAAACTGTGAAAATAATTAAAAGTGGTTAAAGTAAGAGAGAGCAGATGCATGTTAGAAACCCCACGCACATTGTGGAGAGATGGTGGATAATGGTGAATACGGTGATGGGGGGAGGGGAGTGTGAGGAGCAGCTGCTGTTTGTTATGCGTGTCAGTTGTACATTAGCACCTTCTGCCACATGATAACTGCTTTTTTTTAAATCAATCAAAATGAGTGGAAATCAATTTGTCTATGAACCCATTAGTTGTGTCAACGCAATTGTTTCTGTTCTCTTGGCAATAGGACTTTAAAGATCCGTTTTTCCCGAGTCAATCTCTTTAACACTTTGTTTCAGAAGACCTCTCCGTAACCTTTGGCCAGATTGCCATTACATTTGCTGCGTGTACATTAATGTTTCCCCAGAGGATACATCCTAATTATTTTTCTGATTACTTTGCTTCAAGCACTATCATCAGGCTGAAATGAGTAAACAGGAAATACTTCAATCTAATGGGTAGAGTGTCAGGAAATCCAGACGATGAACCAGTAATGAACGAGCAAATGTACTCATTAATTAAACTTTAAAAAATGCATGTTTTTGTTCCCTGATCTGGTCCAAGGTTTATGGATGGTATTTCACTTTGATCCACGGCACACTGTTAATATTTCGGGGTTTAAAAATGTGACATTAGCTATACAGCCAAGAGATCTCTTTCTCCCTCTGCGTACTTCTTACCATCGAGTAAATCATATATAGATTGTAGCATGTACATATAGTTAGGTTTTAAGAGTTCCAACAGAAGAACACTCTTATGCAACTTTATATTCAGTACTTAGTATCATTTGGGGGCCCTATTATGCTTTTTGTGTTTTTCCCTTTCCTGTAGAGTGTTATATTGTTTTTTGTGTCTGTAAATGGTCTGCATAAGCCTGAAACACCTCCATTGGAATCTTTTGTTTACTTCCGTAACACAATGACATCACTGAAACACTCGCGCTTCTATTGGCTAGCGCCCCAACACATTGTATGTGATAGGCTAAGGGGTGGGACATCTCTAATGGCGCGTTTCCACTACAGCGCGGAGCACGGTTTAAGAGGGCTGTGACGTCAGCGGCCCGTCTTTGGTTACGTTTCCACTTGGCCTAGTACCGGCCGGCGGGTCCTAATTCACAGTTTTTCTGGCCTCATAAAATTGCGGGTCTAGGGCCAGAGACAACGAGGCTGAGTCGGGCTGAGTATGCTAAACTAGAGAGAGCATCGCTGGCAAGGGGGCTACAACTACAACAAGATGGACATATTTGACCGTGATTTAATTGTAATACACGTTTCAAAATGATGCCGAAGTAACAACATACTGATACTGGTTAGTAAAAACCATGAATTAATGCTTTGACAAGTCTGCAGACAGACGGCAGGCGAAAAACCTTTTAAAATGCGTGTGTTCTAAATGGAGATTGGCTAAGCTAACGCAGTATATGCTCCGACCGTCCACACTCACAACAACGGCCTATACAGACATAAATAAAGCAGCGACTGTATTCGCCATGACACAGGCAGTCTGTGGTTTGTACTTGTTTAACTTTTGTCTAGTTTCTGAACATATATGAGGAGCTGTGAGCTCTGAGTGCTAACAGCTAACGGCTGTGTTGTTTTTCTGGGGTTCTCATTGAAGATGACGTCACGGCTCCGCCTACACTGCATTACTATAGATACTACCCCAGTTCCTAAACTGTAATGGAAATGCGCCATAAAGTGAGCCAGTCCTAACGAGGCCCAGCCATACCGAGCGGGGCCGAGCGAGGCCGAGCGAGGCCGTGTAGTGGAAACGCGCCATAAGAGGCTGACTTTAGCTCAAAATACAGCCACACCCCACATCAATGGACTGATTTACATGTGTGGGAATGAAAAGGCGTCATGCAGTTGAAATGACTCGGTAAACAGTGGGCTGTTAAGTTGATCCGCTTCTTCTCAGCATGTTGACATTATCCAATGTTTGTTCCAAAATTAGACGTTTTCCTTTTTCAACAACAACATTGTTGTCAACTTTTCCTCTTACTGGTGATCGTCCGAACATTCACACAAATGACTATGCTCAGAAACAGGATGGTCTTCAACTGAAATGTTAGGTTGACAAAATGATGGTCGATCACAGAACAGTGTCGATTCTCGTAACTTAGAAATAATAAAGACCTACATGTACATGAATTCTTTTCCACCCCATAATTAGTATATAGTATTTTAGAGTACAACTTCAAAAGTCCAGTCTTTTTTCAGACGTCTTCCAGTTTTAGAAGCAGCGATGCTCATAATTAACTACAAATTACACAGTAGAATAACTTTAGCTTACAGCGAAAACGCTTTTAAACACGTCTTTGCTGACTTTGAAGTTTTTATGATTTTGAGTGAAATATCAACCATACCAACAAATATTGAACGGTTCTAATAAAACTAAGCTTCTCATTTAGTGCTTGATTTATGATCAAGCAATTGCGTTGACATTCCCTTTAGCCTCAGCTGCACTTTGTTTTCATTTTAATTCATAAATGTTAGACTAAGAAAATCTGGAGTTATCAAAAATAGTTAAAGGATATGTTTTTTGTTGATCCCGTCCTCTATTTATTGTACATTTGTTTTCAACTCCAAGCCTAATTTACAGATTACAATGTGGGGCTGCAGAATCTTGGCATTTTCACAGAAATCTTGTTCTGGCAACACAACACATGTCACAAGTGATATAATAAACAAGTCAACATTCATTGCCCTCTTGCTGCATGTTTTGGTGTTTCTATGACTTTTCTTCAGCCTTTGTTTTCAGAAACAAAAAGATCGGTGACCAGGTCTGTTTTTACTCCTACGGCTGTGTTCCCAGCCTTTAACCAGGATGTATGGATACTTTTGGAAGGTTTTCCACTGGCATTTTCTGTGTTTTCACAGAAATCTTTTGACCATCGTACATGGTTTCCTTGACAGCTTTCTTATCAGTAAAGGAGGAGAGAAAATCCTGAAAACTCTACCACTTTAAAATGTGTGTAATGTCGTTCCATCAGGACAGTCTTGTTGACAATGTCACCAGTTCACTGCGAAACGCTATCCACAGAATCAATGAAATAATCAGTTAAGTTCCTGAAATGAGAAAATGTACCCAGTGTCATTAGCCATGGGAATCCGCTCTGTTATTCAGTCGTTTTGGAAAAACTTGCTCACAACATGTTTTCTCAGTGTTGCTCTGATAAATCTGATCCTCGTTGGACACACTGGTCATGAGGCTATGAGACTGGGATAACATAACTGTGAAGAATGTGCTGTTCTGAAGTCAGAGTATAACAAATCAGAATTATGGGTTTCATGTCAGGAAGTAAGTCCTGGTCTATGCATAAATACACACTTTATGGTTGCTTTGACATCAGTGTCATTTTCAGTTTTATTGCCTCAGCAAATAAAACAATGAATCATACTTTTATTGAATGAAGTCTGTAACTCTAGAAGCGAGGAGTAAGCAGAAATGGAAAGGCTTTTCGAAATAAGTCATTCATGGAAATGTACAGGTCATAAATTGTAAATCGCAGAGATTTATGTGCCCCTGCTGTGTGTTCTTTCTTCACAGACAGGAGGTTCGAGAGAACTGTGTTCGCTGGAGGAAGAGGTTCACCTTTGTGTCCAAAATGAGCGCAAACCCCCACACCGGAGTCCTGGATCCCTCTGTCTGCAGGTTGTCAGTCAGGAAGGTACGACTTTTATACAACAGGTCAATCAGTGTCTATAAAAAACTATGATTTTAATTAGTTTTGACTTAAAGGTAGTCAGGTGATAATCATCTGAGCCATTCATTAACAAGATTTGACATGGAGCAGTACTGAACTACAAAAGAGATTAAGCAACAAATAAGCTATTTTTATGAACCACCATGTTTATGTTGAGTTTGAGTCATTTGACATCAGGTACAGTTGCAGGAATCCCCAGTACTGCCATGCTCTTAACTGCAAATATAATTGATCACTGATCTAGAAGTAGTTAAAAGGTTGTCTGGAGCTATGCTGGAGCCGTACTGATTCACACTACTGTTCAAACATTTTGAATCAGCTGTTCTTCCCTATTGAAATGGCTTTTGCCCCAAAAGAAGAATCAAATTATTCAAACTTGTTGCGTGGCACGTGGGAATACTGTAAAGGCATAAATGACCCTTGACCAGTATAGAACCAACTCTTGTACCAATACCCAGCCCTGAAGAACTGCATCCACCAACAAACCAGATACAACCAAAATAAATGTACAGACTTTTTGAGTCAGAGGTATATCCAGGATCCAGGATATTTCAGTGATGCTGAAATCTCCCATGTGAACGGCGCCTCGATGCCATGCTCTGAGGCACCCTGAGTGTGGTCTCAGCCTGTAATTTTAACTCTCTCTTTGGGAGCCCTGTAATTGGAGGCCACTGTAATATGAAGTTGGATCAGTTGGATCACCAGGTTCATTACTGTCTTCCTGTTTTCCCTGCAGGAACTCAAAGGAGGAAAAGCATATACGAAGGTAAGAGCTTGTGTCTCCCTATCATGTTCATGAAGTTGCCGATGAGCTCCGTGTAAACCTTAATGCCACATTGTGTAAATATTAGCATTTCTCGCTGCACTTTGTCAAGCTCTGCACTAGCAGGGCTTGACAATAAATCAAAAATGCGTCCTCCCTACGTTCACTTTTGCCCGGAATCTGCAGAACATCCTGCCAACACTTCTCTAACCGTAACTGTAAGAGCTCCTACCAATGAGTCACGTCTCGTGCAATGAAATTACAAGGTCAAACCCCTCAAGTCGATAAACTTTTGTTGATCCGTGGACGTTGTTGCCGGACAGGAACCGTTTCCTCTGTTTTCCCTATTCTCCATTTAGGTTTCCTTTTGCTAAATATATACCCAGCTTCCCTCTTTAGAAGTTGGCTTCCTTTTTAAATACACACCTGTGAAAACAGAAGCTCCTCAAGAAAAGGGAAACCTGGAGAATGAAGCATGGGAACATTTAGATTGAGAGGAGCTGTAAATTGTAGTTCATTTAAAATAACATCCCAAATGAGCTTCAGACAAAGGCAGTTTCCACACGGCAAGAAGCTGTGAGGTTATTTTTAAAGGTAAAGTCATGTAGGCATGTAGGGTCCATTTCAGTGTTACCTTCTAAATCTGGATCTCTAATGCTGGTTTCAGAATCAGGATCAGAATACCTTTATTCGTCCCACAGGGGAAAGTTTCATTGTTACACCAAGTAAAGAGCCAAAGATAGCTTAATATTATTAAGAAGCATATTCAAAATAAAAGTAGAATTTACCAGTTAAGCCCCATGCAACATCTAGCAAGAAACAGTGTCTAAGGGCTTCTTAACATTTAACAAACTATGAATGTCTCATACCCACTTAACGGGAAGAAACTCAGCTATCAGACAATATTAACCATTTTTAGCTAAACAAAACAGAAGGGTAATAACAAGCCTCTGAATTAGCCCTGAGCGAAACTGTAGAAATACAGAACTCACGGTAGAAATACTTTATTACTTATCGGATCTGCACAAACAAGATATCAGCTAGCAAGCTGAATTCCACAGATTATATAGGTATTAGTATCATCACTGAGAGACCAAAACTTGCGGCAGGGGAAGCAAACCCAGACAACACAGCTTAACGGGACCAAAACGGAAAATAAGTTGTTTTCTGATCAAAAGTTGTGTTCAATGGCATTAAAACGCATAAAACGCTGCTGAAGGTTAATCCAATGTGTCTGTGTCACTTTTAAATGATTACTGATAATCCATCAAAAATATTTATGGCAAAAAACTGAGTTTTCATATATAGCTGCTATGATAGCTACGAGAGTGTATGACAGCTTCCGGTTTTGGGCATTCTGGCTGTGCAGCACTCATTCACCAATGGGTAATGTGTAGATGGATTTGAGGAACTTCCCTTCGATTCTATTGGCTCTAACGGTTAAAAAGAGGTGTCAATCATCAAAATCGACCAAGGGGGGCCAGAGATATGGAAAATCCACCCAAATGACCCCAGAAGTGGTTTTTTTTCTCCAAATCTCTCTAAAAAGGTCAAATGTCACTTGTTTTGCATCAATCTTGATACAGGGTACTTATTATATGTTGTACTTTGGATTCCTAAAGCTTTTAGTCTACTATCCCATCATTCAAGGGTAGTTTACTTTTTACTATAAGTAATGGTTTATTTTTTGGACGGACACTATAATTTAAATTTGTTTTTTGTTTTTACTATGTTCAATCTGAATTTACTTTAAAATAAAAAACATCTATATTGATTCTGACTTTTCTACATCCAACTCACAGGTTTATCATTACTTTGAGAGAAAAGATTATTAATTTTCCCCTTTTAGAAGTGAAGTTATAGTCATTTGTTCTGGGAATGTCATTTTCGAGCCTGAGACCTTAAAAACAGGCTTGGGGCTTAACTGGTTAACACAATTTACAATTTACACACATCCAGGAAATTAGAATAATAGAGCCTCTTTACTGAATTGTTTTATTTATGTAGTAAGAAACCACAATTATAGACCATGTAAAGTTGTTTTTGTTCAGCTTTTTGTGCCGTTACAGCTCGTCCTAACTCCCCCTTTCTCTGTGACTATTTTCCCATTTATTTTTCAAACAAGGTTCTGAATCTTTTGATTTTTGGGAGGGTAAAGGGAGAAAAAGATTACAAACAGACTGCATCATGCAGGGACAGGCCGTCCTAATACCTTTCCAGAGTGCACACTGTGTAGGTGTGCCATAGATTCCAAGGATTTGTTCCCAAATGTGATACTATAATCAGTGTTGCTCTGGCCTTCCTTTCATGATTTTCTCACTGGCTGTATATCCAGAGAATATAACCATCTACCTTTTAAAAAAATGTAACATGTAATTCTCTTCATCAATTCAACAAAAATATAGGTTTGATGTCTGTTAAGAGTGACATGTGGTTTCTAAACCCTGTCATATATAAAGACTTCAGAAGCTTGTGACTTTTTTTAACGACGGTAATTTAGTAAATGATGGGTGTCACAGAGATCTCTCATGCCAAAAATAAAATGCCAATGAACCCGTCCATTAGTGAATCTAGAATTAACTTGTTTTCTTCTTTTTCACTCAGCTGGGCTTCACAGACCTCAACATGGCGGAGTTTGCGGGTTCTGGCTCCACTGTGCGCTGCTGTCTGCTGGAAGGATACGACACCAAGAACACACGGCAGGACAACTCTATACTGAAGGCAAGGAGAAGGGTGTTCGGGACAAAAAAAGACAAAAAGTCTGTTCCCTCACTGTAGAAACAGGAATTTTATTGTGTCGTAAATGTGATGCCTGACGCAAGCTAAATCATTAACTCTGACACTTTGACCTTTTCATTGATTGCTTCCACTCCACGAGTTTAATCAGAAGAGACCTGATTGGAAAGGTAGAGGATCAATAGGCTCTTTGTCATGTCAACCTGGTGACTTCTGTTTAAGTGCTTTGGTGTTTCTGTCCAAAGGACAAACAAACAGTGGGTGTCTAAATGATGCACACTCTAAAATGCACAGAATAGAGTGGTGCAGTGACGAGTCCTAAAACCCGGAAGTGAGTTAGCATTTTACCACTACCGGTTCCCTCGTCTCAGAGCCAATGGGATTTCTCCCTAGGATTTTGGAAAAGAGCTGGAAATAAGGTCTGTGGTTGAGACAAATTTAAGAGACGGATCACGTTTTGTTCTATGACATTAAATACATCAGCAGTGACCCCCACTGGTGATTTCTGAAGAGTTTACGTGTCTGAAAAACGATGGTTGTTAACAAGTGGCTGAATAGGACTACAGAAGTTGAGGACGTTGTACATCATTACACCGAACACGTAAACACTCCTGCTAAGTTTGTTTGCCCTGTTCTGCTTGAAAGCAAGTATCTGCGCTCTTGCAAACTGTTAAAAACAAACGCTTCAACTTGTAACATTTTGAATCTGTATTTTTGAATATGGATCTTAAGTTGGCGTGACGTTGAAGCAGCTGCTGAAGTTAGTTTATAGCATAACGTTAGCATTTTGCTTCTGGCGATTAGATTTATGATTAGAAAATTATAAAAGTAGGGTAAACATGTGGAGATTATCCGGCTGAACAAAACGTGCATTTATCTAACAGGTTCGTTTTTTTCCACAGACCTTATTTCCAGCTATTTTCCAAAATCCTATGGAGAAATCTCATTGCTTTTTTGTCGAGGGAACCCGAGCGCAGCTTACTTCCGGGTAAATACGTCATCCCTGCACCACTCTATAAGTAAAAAGGTTCTTTAATAGACCAATATACTATTTAAAAGATATAAATTTAGGATTTTATATATATTCTAAAGTTAACATTTTAGAATATTGGGAAGATCCACTTGGGATGCAACTATTGGGATGTATTTTTCGTAAAGATAACCTTGGAATAAAATGATTATTAACTTATTTATCTTTTTTTAAACTTTAAATAGCTTTGCTATAACATACGGTAGGCACATCAGAGCATTTACAAGTAGGGAGTCAAATATTTAACGCCCAAGACAATATTCTAAGTATTGCTCAACACCTGGGTAAGAAAAAAAAACAAACACAGAAAAGATTAAATAAATAAATAAGGAATAATAAAGCTACTGCACTTTCTCCTCACCACAATAAGCCCAATGTCCTTACCGATCTAAAGGAGGCAAAACCTTAATCTCGGGTTGTTGGGTAATCCTCCTTACAAATGGGAAAATAGGGCCCCATGTTTCCTAAATGATTTAGTGGTTTTAGACTCTTGGCTAAACAAAATAAAAGCACTTTGAAGACATCTAAACCCAAAAGTCAACATCAACACCAAACGAAAAGCAGTCATCTTCACACACAGCTGAACAGTTTAATGTCTCTGTGGGTAAAGGAGCTTCTGGATCATTCTCTCTGCAGCGCCACCCAGAGGCCGTCAGGATACACTGCGCTGTAAAAACAAAGAGCCAAGACAGTCACGAGTAACTCTGTCATCTCATTCCTCTGGAAGACATACTGTTAACTCGTACGTCAGTGAGCTTACTGGGAAAGCACTCCACGCTTTTCCAGTTCCTTAACAGACATTTGGGTCAAAACATGCACTTTGACTCTTCTTAATAGCACAAATATAGGTTAATCAATAGGAACTGAAAAAAACATGTTTGTTAAATTGTGTGGTAAAATGTATTTGTATGTCTTTTTAAAGGTGATAATTGGGATGACCCTCCTGTCTGGAGATCCGTGTTTTAAGACGTGAGTATTTGAAAGAGTGTGAGATATACGATGTGCTTTATTCATGTCTCAGTCAGTTCTCAATGTATAGTACACAAAGTTCATCACAGAGCGTCTATCACATCAGCCTGTTGCTCTCAATATTAGTTTGCTTACCATTTTAACATTGTTATCTGATGGAGATCAGACTGGAACTGCAGTAGTAGAAGTGTGTAGAAGTATTGTGTGTTTATATACATTAATATGCAGTTGTATCTTAATTACAGTTCTTTCTATACCCACTAATTTCAGGGTACTTTATTGTAACTTTGTTAAACTTTATACGCCAAAGTTGTGTGGGTTCTTTTTCCTCTGTTGTTGTTGGAAACATTAACAATGGAAAAGTTAGTAACACTGAATTTCTGGATTTAAAGCTGATCAATATAAACCAAGCCATACATTCTCCACTTGATTAACTGCAGATATTTTTAATAGTGAATCTGTAAAGTTACATTGTTTTTCTGTTGATGGAGTTCTGCATACATTATAATTGGTTTCCTTGTGTTTTAAGGACATTTGTAACCTTTTAACCAGATTGTTGAACATCATATTTCCACTCGTCCGTCCTTTATTGCTGCAATGACTCAGTTCCCCCGCAGGCAATCCAATGAATGTGAAGAGGCTGCCAAGCTAAGCAGCTCTGTGCTCATTTCATATTTTCCAGACTGATAACTTGTGTTTACTTTTTTCCTGCAGGCCTCCCTGCGCAGCCAAATCCATCTCCATCCCGGGACAAGAGCACACCCTGCAGCTGGACTGTAAGGGGGAGGGAACGGCCGAGCCCGGGCCTGCTGGGGGGGTCTCTCTGGGCCGAGCTTCCAAGCCTCGACCCTCCATCATCAGCTCAGGTACAGCTCAGGTCTCAGCTGAAGCATTTAAAGAGGATTCTTTTTAGTCTGTATTGTACTCCGAGACTAGGTTACATTTTGAATCTGGTCCAAATCTGGAAGACTACACATTTATCTTAAACGGTGTCAAAAAGACATGAGGTTAAGAAGTAGTACGAAAACATCTGATACAGTCTTGAGTCTTAGATATTGGCTAAGCCCCTCAGCGATAAGAGTTTTTCAATCAGAGACATAACTTCCTGGAAGAAGTAAAACAAAAAAAGAATCATTGTCCTTGCTGGCAATGTTTAGGAATTCTTCATTTTGAAACAAAATACTTAAAAAAACAACAGGTTTTATTTCAACAAAAAGGTAGTTTACAAAGGCAGTTGCTAAAAAACAGTTTGCATTTACAGAAACAGAAGTAAACAAAGACTGCTTGATGTCTGATCCTGCAGAGGAAGCAACTAAATAAACATTTTGACATGAAATAAATATATGTGAGGTGGTAACCATTTAGTTGTTTCTTGTTTTGGTGCCTTCAGGTCTCCTTGATGAATCAGAAGCCAGCCACTCCGGCCCTGCAGAAGGTTTTCTCTCTGGTCACTCTCGTAACTCCAGCTATGCCAGCCAGCACAGCAAAATCTCAGGTACAAGACTCACTAACAAATGTCTCATGTAGCCCTTTTTTGTGGGTCATTAAACTCTTTATTATACAAGACCTGTAGTTTTCCAATACTCCTGTAGGAAGTAACCTCGCCAAAGTATCGCGTTGATAATCTGTAATATTTTTAAGGTCTCATCTGATTTCTTTTTAATAATAATATTATACTTAATTATACTTTTAATAGCACATAACCCATAATCAAGTCAAACTAGGGTAGGCAGGCAATGCAATAAAAGCATTTTTGAGCTTAGATTTAAAGAGGCCTTGTTATGCTTTTGGGGGTTTTCCCTTTCCTGTAGTGTGTTATATAGGTTTGTGTGCATGTAAATGGTCTGCAAAGGCTAAAATCCCAAAGTTCCCTCCAGAGGGAGTTTCTCTCACACACACTCCCCCCTGCCTGAAATGCCTCCGTTGGACTCTTTGTTTACTTCCATAACACAGTGACATCCCTTCTATTTGACTTCACTTCTATTGGCTAGCGCTCCAACACGTTTACATTACAGGCTTAAGGGTGGGACACTAAAGCATGTAAACATTCTCAGTAGAGGCACACAATTCATATATGAACCTGAAAAAGGGCAAAATATGTCCTCTTTAAATCTTTACAAAATCTAACATTGTCATGGCATTTTCTGTTGTGGCACTTTTAAATGTAGAGATACAGGTACATTGGTAGAGGAAGAGTGATGACAATCGCCTAAGGTCCTCTAGCTGTCACTGTTACTTTGTGTCCTACACACAATTTCTGGAACCCTTCATTTGCGCTTATCCCACTGGGTGTTAATGTATGGTCACATGGTCCACACATGTCTATTTGGCGAACCTGTTGACAGATGATTATATTTCTGTCACGTGGGGAACCCTTAAGGCTACTGAAAGCATACATTACAGTGTTAAGTGCACTATATATATATCCTATATGGGAATTTGTCTTGGTGCATAACGAAAAGAGTCAAGATAAGATACTGTATATAAAATAGAAAGTGGCCAGAATTACAATCAAAATGTATACTCAATCATGTTCTTTTTTTATGAAAAGAGAATAAATGTAACTAATAGTGTCCATGGTGTAATAAGTGTCATTTAAAGGAGTAGTTACTACAAACTATATCAATTGTTTTGAGTACTCATGTCCCTAGGTTTTCTATGTAGTAGTCACATGTAGCTTGTATTAAATCATATAAACATGTCGCAGTAGAGGCACAGAATACATTTATGAACCTGAAGATGAGCATTATATGTCCTCTTTAAAATAAATAAATCGCTCAAAGCTTTGTAGTTTCTTATGTTTTTATTTTATTTCTTAATTGGACTACGCTCAGTTTTCCCTTTGCAATAACGTATGCAATACAATATTCTATGTTTATATTTGTTAGTGGTAGGTTGGCCTGCTATTTTGTATTCTACCTAAAAAAGAAATATATTATATTAAAATATTTTTGTATTGCTTTTCCTTGTTAACATGCTGCTGTAGCAAAACAGTTTCTCCATTTTGGAATAATAAAGGATATCTAATCTAGTATAAGCCTGGGCATGGTGTTCCAGAGCCTGTTATCTCGAGAGCTGTCCTGACTGGAATAGACTGAAGGCCTCTGCCTGACCATATCAAAGTGCCAGCAGGGAAATACTGAGATACAAGATCGGAGCTACACCAACTACACCAACTATAGCGCGAGAAATATAACTCAACACTTTCTATACACAATACTCCCGTGATTGGTGATAAACAAAACTGATACCAGCGTCAAAGTTCCGTTAAGCGAGCTGTTGAGCATCGTAGTTGGCAACAATCAAGGTATAAGCGCAATAAACTGTGCTAGAATGTGAAATTACGTATCCGCAATCAAGCGTTGTCCTTCCCCACCTCCACGTAGCTCCATGAACGCAGCATAGTATTGGCTTGGTTTTTGCGATCAGAATCAGAATCAGAATACCTTTATTAGTTCCCCAGGGGATACATTTACATTGTTACAGCAGACAAGAGCCAAATACAGCTTAATGTTACCTAAAGCATGCATAACAAAAGTAAAGATTAAAAAAAGAAATTATATATATTTTTAAAGTTACACATTTTACATAATACACACCCTGTAACAGTTCTGCGGATTTAGCAGCCAGGTATATCTTGCACAGTTTTTAACGGCATATATTGCACATATTGCAAATATTGCACATAGTTGGTATTTATCTGTTAATAATCAAAAGAACCATGAAATCAATTCTAAACTGACTCGAAGCCACTGTAAAGAGGAGACAAGTGTTGTGTTAAAAGCCTGTGTCCCTGCAGGTTACAGCACTGAGCACTCCTGCTCCTCCAGCCTGTCGGACCTCACACACCGCAGGAACACCTCGACAGGAAGCAGCGCCTCTGGGTGCGTGGCCTCCCCTGCTGACACCCCTGCAGAGGGCGACAAGGACGCCGGACGTCCAGAGAGACCCCCTCGACCTCCGCGGCCCATCTTACTCCCCAACAGGCCCTCCAGGTACGAACACAAAGTACAGTGCATAAGTCCTCTGCTCAGGAGAGCACTGTGGTTTGGCCTCTTACATTACATTGCATTTAGCTGACGCTTTTATCCAAAGCGACTTGCAATAAGTGAGCGACTTACAATCTAACTACACATGTATTTTTCATTTACTGTATTGATTCAGGAGGAAGCAGGACTCGGTGGAGAGTCACCCCTCTTGGGTAAACGACACCCGCATGGACGCAGATGATATTGTGGAGAAAATTGTTCAAAGCCAAAACTTTGCAGATGTCAACAACACTGAAGGTACAGTGGAGCACGATAAGATTCAGAGTAATCCAACATCAATAGTGCAGCTCTGTGTCATCCTTTTCTGTATGTTTTCCCTTTATTGTGAGTTTCAAAAGGACAAAAAACAGTACTTAAAACAACAGCTGCACATTTGTATCTCAGTAGTGATTGCTTTTACAGGTTAAAAGTAAATAAAAGCAGTCGCTATACTGTATACTGCTAAAAGGGGTTAATTACAGCCCGTGCACACTAAAGAGAACTAGATTTAAAGGGGCCTTATTATGCTTTTTGGGGTTTTCCCTTCCCTGTAGTGTGTTTATATAAAGTAGGTTTTTGTGCATGTAAATGGTCTGCAAAGGCTTAAAATCCCTGAGTGGGATGGAGTTTCGTTCCCCACACACTCAGCTCTGTGTTTTGTCTGCGTGTCGATGCCTCCTGGTTCCTTCAGCAGCAGCTCACTGTGTTTCTGTGTCTCTGGCTTTCAGACAGCAACCTGCGACTGTTTGTCAGCAGAGACGGAACCACTGCGCTCAGCGGCATCAGGCTCGGGAACAGGTGAGAGCTCGGTTATGACTTTCTATTATTGAGGTTTTTTTAAACACTTCCTCCGCTCTTTGTTTCTTCCTTCCAGATTGGAGTTGTAGCTATAGAGACATTTTCTATCGTTGTCTGTTTGTGGCGCTATACAGTTTCCTTGTCAAGAATTTGAGCAAAACCCCATAACGTTTTTAAAAAGTGTTGAAGTTTAGAAACACATATCTGGTCGGATTTAGTTTAAAGGGGCCCTATTGTGCTTTTCCCTTCCCTGTTGTGTGTTTTTATAGCTGTTTGTGCATGTAATTGATCTGAACCTGAAAATGAGCATAATAATCCTTTTCAATTTAATTGGGTTGTTCCTGATTAAATACTTTTTGTTGATCTAAGATTGGATTAAATGTTTGCAGTTCTTGGCGCAGCTCTTTGCTTTAGACTCAAATACAGTGTGATACATTTAATGATTGGCTGTCATAGATGGTTAGGGACGATTCGGAAGTCCTTTGGAGGCAAATTCATGATTTATAGATTTTACTTGACTTGACTTTTACATAACATTTATTTAGCCGGCACTCTTATCCTTGGTGGGTACAATCCAAACAAATTGCAAAGAAATGCAGTACATAAACTTCCTGGTTTACGGAAACAAATTGACCACATCAACAGACTTTAACAAACTATATTCACTTTCAAGCATTAGTTTGGAAAAATAAATAAAACTTGCAATAAACGAAATGTTTCAAAGCTTTAAAAAAGACTTAATTTGAAAGCCTACCCCCTTTTCTTATGACTGTCATCTGTTTGCCACTACACAATAAACTGTTAATAAATGTCCATGGTACCAATTAAAGTAAGGATTAAAGTGATGTAACTGCGATAACCCTCCAGCACATCAAACACACTAATGAACTTGTTCCACACACACACTCTGACTCTGGTTCCTGTGTGTTCGGTGTCTGCAGGGTGTCTGCCGGCGGGTACGAGCCTGTGGTGATAGAGAGCCATTAGACCTGGAGCAGGAGCAGTGGATCGTGTCGTCTTCTGTCTCACTGGTTTCCCCGGAGCTTCAGCCGGTCTGATGCCGCGAGGGGGAGAAACCTCGTCAGTTTGCACTTTATGTGAAGTTTGTCTGCACTCCGTTCAGCTGTTTCTCTGCACAAATGTTTCTCTCGTACTGCCTTGTGGTGTGTTTACCTAACTAGATTTTGGATGGGATTTAGATCCAAAGAAGTCTGGAGATTTAAAGAGATAACACTTGATGGTAAATATGTTTTACCTGTAAGATGATAACAGATACAGACAGTAACATCATACATTTGTCTCTGGTTTATTTTTCTGACTGATTGCTCTATGCTAACTGTAGCATAAAAGGAGGGAAACGGTTAAACATTACGTCTGAGATGACTGATATTTTCTGTGTTTAAGTCCCCTTTTTAATACCAACCGCTTGAAGTACAGTATACTTACTTGTCGTATACTTTTTTTGCAGTTAGTATACAAATTAACAAAACGAAAAACACTTTTTTTTTATTTCTAAAAATGTAAGACTCTGAAATATTTGTGCTTACTTTGAGCCGCTCCTCTATTGCATTTCATTCTTTGAGTATGAATCATTTAGTCAATTAAACAATGTAAAGTCACTACAGACCAAAAATCTGCTCAGTTTTAGTATCTTATCTGTTTAAAATGGAGCATGCTTTCAAGCTGATATTGTTAGATAAAAAAATATTGGTGTCTTGTTAGGGCCTGCGTTAATTTAGGTAAAAAGTTTATAAAGTCGTTTCCTTTTCAGTTACTGTCAAGAATATTATGTCACTGCTCAAAAACAAATGATTGAATAGGACAGACTAGAGTTAAATCCACATGGTGTCCAACTTCAGTCAAATTCAAGCCACTTTCATTATAAATTCATTACTCAATTCCATTTTTTTTAACAGATTTCTTTTGACACGTTCTACATCGTACTTAGCTCGATCCACTTTAACCTTTCCACGTCTAGGTGGTCATGGTACATTTAATATCAAAAGGATATTTTAAGACTGACTGCCAGAGGACCATCTGTGGAGAACATGTGTGTGAGAAGTGACAGTAATGACATTACATTAGAGCTGAAAGAGACAGGAAGTCATTGCCGGCTAGCCCTGAGTGACTTCCTGATTTGCTGGCGACATATGGATGATTATGTTTCATGTTCACCAACGGTAGAAACCTGGCCAATTGACTACTTGATTTATTCTTCTGTCATAAACTGTGTTCTTCCCTCAACACTTGCAGGATGATATGTTCATCAGAAGTCATTTTTGTTAAAGCTTAAAGTAAAAGTTTAGAAAACCACTACAAAGATGCAAAAACTCTGAACCGCTTTAGTTTTTTTGTCTTTTTTTAGTTGTTGCTGTTCCCTGTTGATCGGGGAAAAAGCAGTGGAACCACTTTGTGCCTGTAAAGTTTCTCTTGAATGATCCGGAAGCACCAGGAAATCTGTGAGTGCTAGTGATGGAGAGGAGGAGAAATATTGTTTTCTTGTTCTATGTTGTGTAACGTGCAGGGGAATCCCATCCTATACTCACTGCATGTTGCTGCTCCATCTCCATGAAGGATGACTTGTTTATCATTTAGTTCTCCTCTCCATCCGAAGTTCAAACTGAATGTGAGGTCGATCTGAGAAACACAGTTCTGTGGTACAAACTGTTTCTGGTTTTATTTTGAAAGACAGAGTTTAATCCATGAAGAGGGATTTCTGCAGACTCTAAAAGTCTTTGTTGCCCCCTGGTGGAGCAACGAGTCTGTGCTCATTTGGTGTTCACATGGATGTTTAGTTAGTTTGTTTACAGCTGTCTTCGGATGAACAAACACTAAAGTTGTGGAGAACACACACACACACACACACACACACACACACACACACACACACACACACAACACACACACACACACACACACACACACACACACACACACCCAGCTGGCTGGTTGATGGGTTATTTTTATCAGTTTTTCCATTTGGGTTTTTACTCCAGATACTTTTCCACATAAAGTAAGAACAACATTTATTTTTGTCAAGAGTCTTAAAGTCAAATGTTTTCTTTTGTAAAAAGATAAAAAAGGAATAAGTCTTTATTTTCAAATGCAGGTTAAGTCCACTTGAGTTTAGTTGAATGACACAGATGTTATTTGCCAAGATTTGGCTCCCAACTAAGGATATTCTACAATCATAAAGAGGGATAATCAGCACATTTTCAAACCAGCAAATGATTGTCTATTAAGCTTTAAAAAAAACAAAAACTTTTATTGTCAACTTGTTTCCTTTCAAACAACAAATCGAAACATTGCTTAATTGCATCCGAAACAAATAAAATAATAATTTTGGCCTTGTTTACAAAGAAAATCGGCTTTTAAGACTCTGTTCTTCATCTGAAAACATACTTAAGGACAATATATTTTACGGTGAAGCTTTTAGTTTTCCACCTTCCACATCTTCTTCACACTACAACTGGTTGAATCCAGCTCATTATATAAAAGTTGAATCACTTTTCTTACACTACCTGTTTGTATTTTTGCATCTGTTGGTTATTAATCACGTGATTTCTCACCATTTTCGGGATGAGTCACTGACTGTAGTCTGAAATTGGGTTTACATCACCACAGCCTTTAGTATTCTTTTTAAAGCATTTATTTATATATTCTTTCCCCTTTTTAATCTTTTTATTTCTCATTGTCTGGAGGTTGTTAACAAGCTATGCACACAACTCACCTCCCTGAGTCTTTGATTTTTACAATTAGTAATTCTAACAAATTATTCTATTCCTACAAAGCTAGTATAACCTTATTTTATAGAGAATCTTTTTGTTATTTCTGCTGAAATGACTTTTAAACAATAAAAAGCTAATTAGAGTTTGTTTCTGTGTTGTGTTTTTAATCATCAGTGTTGTTCTAGCTCCTGTATCACAGTAACTGACGGCATCATGCGTTTCCACAATGACATGAAGATGAGCTTTCTACAAAAATACACAATGTTCCTCAGGAATTTGTTTCCATATATTAAGTAACAATAAAGCATTACAAAAATACTCCAATTACAAGTTCAATATCCTGCTATGGGAAATACTTCTTCATTTATGTTTTATAATTAGAGCAGCTAAATGTACTATAAGCATTGTATTGAAAGCCATTTTTTCAAACACAACTGATACCTATAAATATTAGTTTAAACTTCTTTATGAACAGTTAGTTTAGTCCAGGTTTAAGGGGTCAATTAAGGGTTCGGGCCCCTCCAAAGGTCAAAAGATAAATCTGTGAGGTCATAGTATTATTAAAAGAAGAGAAAACAAAGCTTTAATTTCTTGGATAAAGTGTTTTCTTTCTTTGCTTCCTTGGGCAATGAAAGTTATTTAAGTAACTTTATTATATTGTTGTCAAACACTAAGAACCTAAACTACTTTTCTTTTACATTATAATTTAGATGACAATAACAAATCTGTGAGGCCAAATTCTGATAATATTGATAGAATTCCCACACATTATTAAATCATTTTTGTTTCCCCAGAAGAGGGCGCTCTGCTCAACATTATTAATTCAGTGCAGGAAACCCTTGAAATGAAATCATTTAAATATACTGAAAACTAGAGGAAATGTAGGTAGAACCTTTTGAGCTTTAGTTTCTTGAAGACTTAATCTCACAAATATTTATCAGAGGCATAAAATGATGCTCCCTGTGTGATAACATTTCCAGCAGTGGACTTGAGAGACACTTATGACAAAGGACAGTCAAAATAGGAGCGAGCCAAGATCCAAAAATGGGATAACTAGGGCCAAAAGGGTGGGTGGAGGGGGTCTGGAGGACGGGTTTGGGCTGACAGCCCGGGGGCACGGCAGAGGACCAGGAAGGGGTCTCGGGCGGACGGCCCGGGGGCAAGGCAGAGCTCATGGAGGGGGTCTCGGGCGGACGGCCCGGGGGCAAGGCAGAGTTCGAGTAGGGGCGAAGGCCACAGCGGGCAAACTCAGGGGGCCGGGCATGAGGGCGAAAGCCGCAGCGGCAAAAGTCAGGCGGCCGGGCTCGAGGGCGAAAGCCGCTGGGGAACTCAGGAGGCCGGGCACAAGGTTGGGCAAGAAGGCGGCGACGGGACAGCTCCGGAGGGCGGGCACGAAGGCGGTGATGGGACAGCTCCGGAGGACGGGCACGAAGGCCAAACAGGACCCCCGCTGGAACAGGTATCGGCGGGACCACCACCCTGCTGAAAAAAACAGCTTAGACCAACATCGCCAACAACCAGTCAATATTAGGCTGGATTAGTTTTCTGGTTTAGAGGGGTTTTGGACACTTTAGCTGGTCAGGATAGCTGGTTTGGTCACAGTGGTCTAGCTGGTCACCATTAGCTGGTCGGGATAGCTGGTTTAGCTGGTAAAAGCTGGTGGTCACAGTGGTCTAGTAGCTGGTCACCTAATTAGCTGGTCAGGATAGCTGGTAAAAGCTGGTGGTCACAGTGTTCTAGCTGGTCACCATTAGCTGGTCAGACTTGTATGATCTTGAGTAGAACTTTAGCTGGGATTACTTGATGGTTAAGCTGGTCATATATGATGACGAAACACTCTCACCCAATTGCAGTAGCTCAATGAACATCTATCATTTCAGATCAGAGCACCTACCTTACCAGAAAGGTACCAGAATGTATTGTCTGTAATAATAAATACTCATACATCAAATGATTAGAAGCAGGAAAATAATTTATAACACACAATGAACATAACACAAATTTGAAAACACCCATTACTTCATATTTTTAAGCAGTTTCCTTCAACTGTTTCTTTCCGCTTTTCACAAGGGTCCTGTATTTTTTGTGAAATGTAGTAACCGGCCAACTTCTCCCTCTCGGTCTTCTTCCACGTTTTGTGAATTCAGCCATCCTCTGAAGCACTCTTGAAAAGAGAAGGAAAAACAGATTAACTTTTAGCTTTGTGTTATGATTACTTAAATATGTGCACTGTGAGATGAAAAAGAAAAATGTATCAAATTTAGTTTTGAACATTCACTGTGATTGGGTCTATTGTCCACGCAATACACCGTATTTAATTTTTTCTTAATTTACATTATTTAATTTCATATTCTGTTCTTGTAAATATCATATTCTATTATATTGTATATAAACTTTTTGCACTACTTTTTATTTTGTATTTTTTATTTTGTTATATATGTTGCATTGTTGGAGGAGCTCAGGTCAGAAGAATTTCATTGACATTTCTACACTGTAGCTGCTGAGCATATGAGAATAAAACCTTTGAATCTTGAATCCAACACTTTTTTTGTGGAAAATCCTAAATTGTAGGATAGTGTATATTTTACTTTCAGAATCTACCTCCAGTGGATGTGTAGGATCTACAGTATGATAGATATATTACTTTACACCCGGAAGTATGTATTGTCATTCTTATTGTCGATAAATTGAGGGATATACGCTATATTTTATTAACACCAGTATGTACTTTATACATCCACCTCGAGTGTTTGTCTCTGAGTATGTACCGGAAATAATTTAATTTTAAAGTTCAACCGCATATTATATAGACTATATCAGCGCCACACCTGCGTAACACATGGCGCCTCTTGTCTGAATCATTTTTTAAGTGATTTGTAATCTATTCTTGTCGACTTGCAGCCTAAATACAAAACTACCACTGCTTACCTCTAATGAGCCTTGGTAGAACAAGTGTCCGAGTCATGGGGTCCAGGACTGACTGAAGACATGTGGAACAGAGTACATGCATGGTTCGATGTACAGGAAACTGGAACTTTGAACAGGTGTTTTCATCTGTTCTGCCTGAAGATTCACAAGTTCTTGATTAGGTGTTTGATGTGGGCTGGCATGATCCTTTCTGCAGCGATAAATAAAGAAAACAAAGAAAACATTATTAATAATAGTAATGATGGTAACAACAATAATATTAGTATAACTATTTATATAGCACTTACACAATTGCAAAGTGATTTCTCACAACAAAAATAAACTCTCACTTCTTGTTAAGAGGGGTAGTGCAAGCTGTATGTGCTTATCAGCCAAAAAGATCAGAATACTTTTTTCAAGACAATTGTTCATGGTGATGTCACTAAAAACACATGATCACAAATAACCTCACACGAAAGTTAGTTTATCACATTATTAAGATGTGCAAATAAAAAGTAATGGTCTTTCTTCACACACTGTTATGTGATCATGAGTATTTTTGTACCAATGCCTTCAGACAGCCTTCTGGGTGCAACACCTCCCATTAAACACATGGGGGCAGCAGCGCTCCACTGACAGGAGTGAGCTACTACACGTGTAATTTCGTTATTAAATTCATATTCATTTATTGTTTCCATAGTTTTAAAGAATCTACTTGATTTTATTTAGTCATTCATGGTGTAGATAGTGGGTGTTTCAATGTTTTCATATGCCTTTATTTAAAGCTCTTTGAATTTGCCTTAACAAATCACGTGATTCATAATGGAATGTGTGTGCGTAAATTACACTGGCAAGCACATGCAGTCACGTGTGCGAATGACGTATAGTTCTAGTTAATTGTGACGTATTTAGAATTCGAAAACACCAAAGGTAATTCTAGGGTTCTGGAAGGAAAGTGAAGTTCCATTTCATCTTCTGAACCCTCAACAGGCAGCAGACAGGACAGAAAGTTATATTAATCCTAGATATATAGATAGATATTCATTTATCTCCGACTACATTTACAGCCAGACTTCTTCATCAAACAGTATTACTTATTATCATTATTATCATTGCTTATTAGCACAAAGGCCAGACCATATTTATGTGGCTTCCCCTGAGTGGTCAACATTTTACTATACTAAATAGTTTAAAGGGTCAAAATAAGTAAATTAATATATGATAGCTTTTCCGTAGAAGCAGCTTTTCATCCTGTTTAGATATTGTGTTATTTTCTATCATTGGAACCTTTGAAAAAGCACATTTACAGCTAATAGTAGTTTAACAGTGGTGTTAACTTAAACCAAGGGCAACTACAATATTTGGAGAAGTTGTTTACAGTAGTAAAAGCTCTTTTGTTTGGTTTACAGTCATGTCACGGAGAAGCTCACGATTAGACTCCCAAGGATACTACAACAATGATGGACTACCAATCATTTGCTACAAGGAACACCTGAACAGGTAAGCTAAGGTGTTGTGTGTGTGTGTGTGTGTGTGTGTGTGTGTGTGTGTGTGTGTGTGTGTGTGTGTGTGTGTGTGTGTGTGTGTGTCGCGCGCGTGTGTGTGTGTCTACAATTTTCATTATAGATCTTCAGACCTTTAACTTTTTATTTTATTTAAATTACATTCAGGGTTTAACAGCAGATGTTTGAGGACCTCTTCATGCAGTAGTAGAGCAGAGTCCACAAGCTACCTAGAAAGACACAAAACCAGCACCAGAAACATAAATAATAACATAATAACAAACATGGACAAGAACAGAAAGAGTTACAAAGACAGCAAGCAAATTAGTGACTATGACAGCAACGAAATGAGCGACTCCTACAGAAACGATGTCAACAACACAAGTAGTAACAGACACAGAAACAACAGGTTCTCCACTATATTCAACCAAAATATGTTTGGCTTTCTCTTCTTCATACTCGTCCTGTGTTTTGGTAAGTGTAACAAACAACTCTATCAACTTTAGTTCCTCAGCTTTTTACTTTTATATTTTCTGTCTTTTGAAGAACAAATGTCTCTGACCTGTTTCTTCTATTCTTTGTGTCTCTCCATCTACCAGGATTTGCATGCAGAGAAGAGTTTCTCAGATTAAACAAAGACACAATGACCAACTTCAAGGGTCAAGGTAAGACATTAAAATCATATTTATCATTTTCATCAGCAAACAAACTAGTGACAGTGACAGCAACACAATTAGCAACAGAAACGTTGACAGCTTCTTAAACACTTTCATATTGTCTATCTTTTGAAAATCGTGAAAAAAACGGTTTCTTTTATGCTTTGTTTCCCTCCATCCTTTAGTAAACACATTGAGTGAAGAGATTCTCACATTAAACAAAGTCCTGAACTCCCTGCAACCGGTGGCGGACACTATGCCCAACTTCGCTCTGGAGAGTCAAGGTAAGACATTAAAATCATATGTATCATTTTCATTAGCAAACAAACTAGTGACAGTGACAGCAACACAATTAGCAACAGAAACATTGACAGCTTCTTAAACACTTTCATATTGTCTATCTTTTGAAAATCGTGAAAAAAACGGTTTCTTTTATGCTTTGTTTCCCTCCATCCTTTAGTAAACACATTAAGTGAAGAGATTCTCAGATTAAACAAAGTCCTGAACTCCCTGCAACCGGTGGCGGACACTATGCCCAACTTCGCTCTGGAGAGTCAACGTAAGACATTTAAATCATATGTATCATTTTCATCTGTTAGATTGTAATATCCAAAATATTTTTAACTTTGAGAACGATTGTATCTCACTCACTTTGTGCGTGTGTTTTTTCTGTGCAGAGGCAAGAGTTTTACTTGATCAGTCTTCACAAACGTACTCCAAACGAGAAGCTGCGCCTATCTTTTTGGAATGTTTTGTAAACGACCTGTACACCCAAGGACAGTCCTTCAGGTAGGATCTACAAACACCAAAACAAATGGCAAATTATAGAAAGGTTTGGGATTTTTAAGCAACCTACCATCTCAACTCTATTTTTATACTCTTTCTTCACTCAGGGAGGCTCACCCCCGGCTGTAGGACGGTGCTGGCCCTTTGAAGGTGGGCGGGGGCATTTATTCATCACCCTGTCACACCCAGTCTACATCAGCCATGTGACACTAGGTCACATTTCAAAGAACTTGTCCCCAACTGGCATCATTCCTAGCGCCCCAAAGACGTTTTCTGTCTATGTAAGTCACAGTATCATTGTTACATTACAGATGTTCAGTTTAAGTGGGAACAACAAGGTGTTCAACTGTGTCTCTATATTCCTCTCTTGCAGGGCATGAATACTTTAGATGACAAAGGAACCTATCTAGGAACCTCTCTGTATGATCAGGACGGGGACGCAACACAAACTTTTGAGCTACCTGTGAGTATTACACTATGCAATAAACACATGTACATTCTTCTTTTTCACACACAAGCTGAAATATTAAAGGAGTAACAGTTTTGTCATTAAATAATTTGTTTCCCATACTGTCAGTTTTTACTCAACAAGCTGTTTCTGCTCTTTTCTCACATCTCCTAGGATCATGGAAAAGGTGTCTTCAAATACGTGAAACTACAAGTTGAGAGCAACTGGGGTCACCCCGACTACACCTGTCTGTACAACTTCAGAGTTCACGGAAAGCTGGCAGAAGTTACAGACAGGTAAGTATGCATGCATGTACTTTTATTATTTTATTAGCAATTATATTATTATTATTATTATTATATTATAACATATTATTATTATTATTA